AGAGAGGACTGCGGGCGAGACGTCTCGATGGCAGTGCGACAAGAGTGGGACTCACAAAGTGGCATTGACACTGTTCCGTTTCACGCATTCAACGAGCCCGAAGCTTAGTGTTCCATGAGCGCTCCCATACTCACGATTCTTTGAAGCCGACTGAATTGCGAATCGCCACTCTCAGTTTTGTCGAGCAGGATCCAGCTCTAACACACACACCTGTTCATTTTCCTCCAGACTTATTTGAAGTTCAAGACTGTTTCACAACAAACCACTCAGAAGGGTCATCCAATGCTTTCAGAAAAAAAAAAAGAAAGTTCCAACACCAACTTTCAAGGACTTCTTTTTTTTCCCCGAAGGTGAGATTAGACGTACACGAATTTATGTTGATCAAAATGTACAAAGACATAATTCAAGGAAAATTATTTTTCCTCGGCTGAATTTACAGATGAAATTCGAAGTGGGTATAGCAAAATAATCATCTTATTTTTATAATGTAGCCAATTTTATAACTTGGATGAAACTACTCCCCAAAGTGCCTATGTCACCTTCCTATAAAAAAAAACAGGCTGTCTTTAAAAAAAGCTAATCAACCCAGGATCCCTCAGCAGATGGTTACATTTATTCATACATTAACCCTATCCGTACGCCCTGTGGTCATTTTGTATTCTTCACATTTTAGAATACTTCTTGTACGAAGATCTCTATGAAACTTTCAGTATTTCTCAAAAAATCGTTTTGACAGACTGCTATGCAAAGCGTACGGATCGGATTAACGAGTAAATTTCCTCTTTGGAAAGTGGGGGCACAGAGTTCCCCACTTCGTATGGACACGATAGTAAAACATGACTTACAGATAGGGTTAATTGAAAAGCTTTCCTTGAAGTTTCCAACTCACCTGATAATACTTAAGCTGTTTGTTCTTTAGCATGACTCTCATTATGAGGTCTACCAGTTTGTCCTTTACAGCCATACGCACAGTGTCATCAATTCCTGAAATGGTTAAAAAAAATAATTAATTCACAGACCGTCATGACATACAGTCTAAATTGTCTAAGACAGCCACAGATTGTCAATGAGAAAAGTGGCCGTCTTAGACCGGTGGACGTCTTACACAGTGTCATTATAATCATACAAATGCAAGGGAGATGAAATGGTAAGTGGTTGTTGTCGATACTTGGCCACTTTTCACAACAGTTATCGAGATTTACTCAGGGCACGGGGGTCTAGTGCGGAGCATGGGGATCTCGTGCGGAGCACAGGGATCTAGTGCTGGAGCTTATATATAATCAGTCACTCACGGTATGCGGTAGGACAGTCGGACGATAGAGAGAGGAAGGGACAAAGCCAAGGTCTACACACTTTGCAGGAAATCTACTATGCACTACAATTGCTGTAATAAAGTTTCAAGGACTTATGATGAGAGTTACGCATTTGTTATTTCGAATTGTTTAAAATGTGGTAGTGCTGTGTTCCGCAACAGTGGTCATTCATACAAGTAATTGTCTTATACAGGTGGCTGTTAGTGCAGGTTCGACTGTTCTTCACTCCAATCTTTCCTTTTCATTGCAGTTGGTATACAAATGACAGAAATAACTGAATTCCAAATTAACCAAAAGACAAACAATCACAAAACATGTCTTAAAGCTCAGTTATATCTAGAATTTGAAACTGTGACCTACACTCTTTAGTTTTTAGTTTTAGTAGGGGTTTTACAGGACTCGCAACTGCATAACGTCATATGAGCGCCTGAAGATTAGAAGTGTTACAAGAGAGTAACAAACATAAAAAAGAAGAAGGGGAGATAAGGACGATATATGCTTCATAGGAAAGAAGAAGCAAACCACATCAAACCACCCGCCAACCACCCACACCTACACTCTGCTCTTCATCAGCGACTTGTCTGGTGTGAACTGTATTTTATACTTTGTGAAAGGCAATGACTTACATGAGACACACATACCTAATATAGTTCAGTTCTAGATGACAATAAGTCAGCAGGGTAACCACTAGCAGAAAGAGAAGACTAGATCACAGTTCCCATTAACCTCTCCATAAATACAAACTGCACTGTTAAAACTGAAGACTATCCTTATTTCAAACCTGACAATCAATATATGTAGTACAGAGAAGTGACAGGACAGAAGAAAGATTTTAAAAAACATTCCAACATTATATACAAAAAAAACAGAAACAGTGCAATCACTACAACAATCATTTGAGCATGAGACTTATTGAGCCTGTACAGATCTAGAGCTGTGTTTTACTCGGGAGTGGACGCTACAGAAATGATTTTCATTATTATTATCTGTACTGTTTGCAATTTATTACCACATTTGAGTTGCAAAATAGGGGTTTCTGATCAAAACTTTATGCTCCCTTTCACCAGACACCTTACATTATACTCTTACTATATTATCATAAAACTTAAATATCTGCTCGATGCTTCCATTCCCCGAACTCTTTCAAAGGCATGCACATGACCCAAGGAGTCCAAAAATGTCTAAAAAGAGCTTAAAATGATGTACGGACCTGGGGGGAATCGACTACTTGACCGATTGACATCCATCACAACTTGGTTGTAGGTCTTGCTACACGCTTCCATCTCCTCTTGGGCTGGAGACAAGAAAACACGTCAAAACAAGTGTATAAGATACATGTCTATTGCACGCACGCACGCACGCACGCACGCACACGCACGCACGCACGCACGCACACACACACACACACACACACACACACACACACATACGCACACCACTCTTCCCTTATCTGAAACTTTGAAAGCAAAGAAATTTTTCTTGTTTTCCTAATAACATTAAAACTTGAAAATGACTCCAGTCATCCCTGAGAACATATTCATGAAGCTAAACCTATTAGAAAACATGAACAACACAACAGTGAAACTATATCTGTGGTACACTTCTCTTTCAGTGTATATATACGCATGTACAAATGCTGGCCATTCCAGGGGACTTATCTGAGCTTGTATACTTATGTTTGGAGTCTCAAAAGTCAAATCACTAGAAAACACAAAAGTTAGCAAAGAATGAAAAGCAAGGTCAGTCTAAAAGTATCAAAATGACCATTGATTAACAGACGTTTTTGATTAACTCATTGCTGATGGCCGACAAGAATACTCATATCCAGGAAGCCACTTGACTACGAGAGAATCCGAATCCCTTTATGTCTCTCAAAAACTTGCTCCAGTCCATCATTTCCAAGCTTAAAAAAAAAAAAACTACTTTAGAGTTACCGTCCGTGCACTTCCATACGCTTATTGTCTGCTAGTTTTGTAGCTGTTTGGAGGGAAAGTTATTGTAGCTTAAGTGTGGGTACCTAAATTTATGGGAGTGGCTGGAGGCAGCCAGGTGAGTGCAAATGTCATTTTCAAGTTTTAATGTAGCCCAGGTGAGTGTGTCTGCTCACGGGGGCAATTCAGGTGGAAATGGATTAAAACATTCCAACCCTGGTAATAAAAAAACCAGGCACTGTGCTACAGCAACTGGCAAGGGAGAGCTACTGCTGAAACTTGCTATAGTATTTACACTGAAAATGACGAATGTTACTGTAAAACAAATGTTCCGTTCCTGACAAAGGACATTATCAAGTGTCTGAATTACGAAAATGACGAATGTTACTGTAACACAAATGTTCTATTCCTGACAAAGGACATTATCAAGTGTCTGAATGACGAAAATGACGAATGTTACTGTAAAACAAATGTTCCATTCCTGACAAAGGACATTATCAAGTGGCTTTCCCACATTAGCGTTCACAGCTACCAGACAACCCGAACAGGCATACAGCCTGCTTGATCACTTGTGCCCCTGATAAAAAATTCAAAAATAACTTCAAAAATCAAAACAAAGAGTTGTTTTAGATGTCCTTCGGTATAAGGGATAAATGGCACAATTACAACATTATCCTGTTAAAAACAATTAATTCCCCCTCATTCATTATAAACAATCTAGTGAAAAGGAAAGAAAAAACAAAGTTTAGATGACTAACATGGCTTTGGGGTGACATTGTTGGTGTTGGCACAGATGAGCAACGGCCACACGCGTTGTCTGAGGCTCTTGTTGACCAGACCCCCGCGGCTGATGGCCAGATTCTTCAGTGCCATGATGTCCACAGGGTCAGAGGCAAGGGCTTTCTCGATGGCCACAACTTTGTTCTTTTCTACATACGAACTAGGGACAACATCTGGTCAGAAGGAAAAATGAAGGTCACCCAATGAAAAATATATCAAACGATTTTAACTGTGGATATGTTCACTGTACATAAATAGAAGAGTTGGAACTCATCCAATGCTAATCAAACAAAAGGCAAAGTTCTGCTTCGGCTAAACAATGCATCACAGGAATTGTTCAAAGACTCATGAATCTCAAAGATTGGAAACACATCAAGCTTTGAGAGTTTTTTGACACTCATGATTTAACAATCTGTAACACTCAGTAATCACGAGCCCAGAAAAAAATTGCAGACTCCTGATGACCATAAAAGACACTGAATATCAATCTGCTCTAATACTGCCCTACTTGGGAATTTTTATTTAAGTCTTCCTCATGCTCTTGAACCACAAAGACTCAAGATTTCCTGACCGGAACTTAACATGATTTTTTGAATCCAAACCAATGACCTGTTTACTTTTTTTTAATCTTTCAGATCACATAAATTTTTAAAAAGTCAAGCAAGTGAGAGGACTAGTTTGTAAATGCTTTTGAAATGACACAGGATCCATACATTGTCTCAAATATAATGTAAGCAAATGAAGAGTGTACTTTCATAACTAGGTAGGTTCAAGCTACTAGAAATTGACCATACCATAATCACTTTTCTGATTTACCTGTTGTGCTAAAAAAGCTTTTGTTCCTCTACTCAAATGAGCAGGTGCGAAAAAAGCACACTCCATTTTTTTACCGTTCCTCACAAAATCAAGGTTAGAGACTTGGACAATTATTACCTTACCGATGCCAGATTGATAGCATAATTCTGAACTCGAATACAATAATAATTCACTTTTCATCAAATTGAACTGAATTAATCTATAAATTTTAAAAAATACTCTTCAATTCGGAAAAGAAAGCATCAGTTAGACATTAAGCATGAACCCCCCCCCACCCTCCCCAATAATTAAAACATAGCTAACCATCATCTGGCACCCGAAAAAAGCCATCTTCATCTTCTTGTGATGAACGTGGAGGTTCGGGGTCAAGCAGTCTGTGACGAGGTGATGTCGGTCTCAAATTTGAGTCAGTTGAAGTAGGAGTAGGCTCAACTGTGCTGCTTTCTTCGATCACCTCAGAGGACTCATCATCAGAAACCGAATCCATGCTGGTGGGCTTCACAGCCTGGTTTCTTCACTGCGCTACTCAGGCAATTGTGAGAGCACCGACACAAAGTAAAGTCATAAAACGAGGCTGTAAAATAAAATATAGAGAAAATTTTCACTGTAACAGCATCTACACATATCATATATATAATGGCGGGGCGCCATTGGTGCAAGCGCTCCACCTAACCTTGGCCTTCACCCCGCCCCCCTTTTCAAAAAAATTGTTCTAAACGAGTCAGTTCTCTAGATTTACATACTAGATCTAGCCTACATCCTTGCAACCCGTCACCCGCTGGCTGCGCGCGCGCCAGTGAAGAGACAGACAGCGAGGATGGTTTATGCTTGTCGCACCGCTTGCGGTACTGTCTGCTGGGAGCAAGCAAAATCTTTGCACCAAAGTTATTTTTGTTACTGTACAGAAATCTAAGCATCGTTCTTCCCACATAAGAAGAAAGGTGTGTGAAACTCCTCTTCGCAGCACCAATTTAAAAATTTGATCCAAGTTAAGCCTACCGCTAGCCTACTATCTACTACACTAGTAGAGTCTACAGTAACTCAATGAAGAATGGGTATAGGAACGTGTCGTCTTCTGTTGTGTAGCAAGTCCTGTGAAGGAAAATTTTCAAATTGAGTGTGGTTGTTGGTGCTGCACGAATTAATTATAAATCTTTAAATCTTCTCAGATTGTGAGCATAGTGAGTTGTTAGTATTGTTTCACTTTATTTTTAATTAAGCTTTTATGCGGTTTCATCTGAAAACAGTTGTAAATATTGATAGATGTAGATTACGGGATATCCTGCAGATTCTAACTGACTTTCTCTCTTGATGAATCATGTTGACCCTTTGCTTCTTGTGCTATTCAGCAGGCTACAGTTAAAAGAGAAAGTGCGCATAGAGTAAACGAGCTTGGTCTCTCAGCCGCGGGATTTTGAGCTCAAGTAATATTCACTTCTTTCCTGTACGTAGTATGACAAGTAAAAGAAATTGTACTGTTTCCATTACAAGTCTGCTTTTTACTGATCGATCAGACACTGACAAGGTTTGGTCACCAATCACGCTCACTCTCTCTTTGCCTTTCTCTCTCTCTGTCTCTCTCTCTCTCACATACACACACACACACACACATGTACAGAGAGACTCGCAGAAAGCAATAGAAAGAACAGACCACACAAGAGCGCCCGCCAACCGCTCATTACAATTTTAATAGTAGTGGGAAGTAAGCCTATTGCCTATTTGTTAACTTTCAAATTATGCACCACCTTGTCTGCAACCCATGTGACGCCACTGGTTATAGTGTAGTCTATACTGAACATGAGATGCTTGGCTTGTCACATCTTGTGAAAGTAAAATGATACAGAAATAAGTTAGTTTACAATAATAATAATAGTAGCAATAGCGGAAGGACTTCCGTAAATGTAATGAGTGACCACCCCAACAAACACAATAAAGAAGAGATCTAGATTCTAAATCTTAATCCTGACCCTATCCCAAACCTAACCCTACCCCTCTACAAAGCTCTACCCTACTCTGTCTCAAAAGCGGTCACTCGTTACGGAAGTCCTCCCGCAGTAGCTGTATATAGTATGGACAGGCAATGATGAAAATGTATTAGATCTAGTAATAAAAAGGAATTGTTAAAAGTTTATTTGCCATGACAATACGGCACGGCACGGTACACGGGGCTACGACACGATGCAAATTTATATGAGCTAAACTACACCACAGCATATGATCCACAGTTCACACTCACAGTACAGTGTACAGGACGTGTGCTCTTGGTCTTGGTCTTGACTCTTGAGCCTTGGATGAATGAATAGTCTGACTTTATTGTGGTTGTGATGTGGGTGTGGTGGACCAGATCATTAAACTCAAGAGTAATATGTGTCAGGTGAGTCTGTTAAGTCGGTATATGAACTTGGACTTGGTGGAGGACTGACTGACTACATTCTTATTCTACAAAGATTTCAAAGAACAAACTTTCTTTTAGCCTACCTCTTTATCAAAACTCATAAAAGGGAAAGGAAAATGCGAAGAAATTCCGCTGCGACACCAATTTTAAAAACACTCATACACTATGCTTCCCAAGTCACGGGTTTCGCTCGTGCTGAGTGAAATTCACACTGATCATTGAATCAGCTCGCACAATAATCGAGCTCGTCATAGCAAGCCAAACGCCGAACGAAAGCAAGTGAAGAGGAAAAAACGGATGTTGGCACTGTCCGTGATAAACATCCGCTTCGTGAAAAGCTTCTTTCGCAGTATAGATCTATTTTTTATTATTATTATTATTATTATTATTATTATTATTATTATTATTATTATTATTATTA